GGGGAAATAGGAACACCAAATTACAGTTCAGCAAGCAGGGGAGTTGATCAGATTTATGTCCGTTGCTCCAGATTTGTATTGACAAGCTATTCGTTGAGCAAACAAGAAAGTGAAGGGAGGGGAAGAAGGAGGAAGGGAGGAGGACCCTGTCTTAATTTCAAGGTCCATTGGCGATCAAAGCTGAGAAATCAATAAAGTGGCAAATGGGGGGAAAAAAGGAGGGAAGGATGGAGGAAAAAAGAGAGTTATTTGGAAGCGACAACAAACAGCCAAGAATACGAGAATCTGTGCTCGCCTATATGTGTGTGCGTGTGTGTGTGTGCGTGTGTAGGAGCAGGAGCAGGAGCCACCAACCTTTTGGATTTCAGGGACCACCAAACTCATAATTTTAAATCCAGCGGAACAGAGACCCTGAAAAAATCCCCCAAAAAGTCTGCAGGAAAATTCCCCACCCATTTTTCCTACCGATCGATCCTTCTTTATTTGGGATCGCAGGATACCGTCTCCAGCTCCATTCTCAGGGAGAGAGAGAGAGAGAGAGAGACTTTTGACTTCATGCAAGGAAAGCAGCAGAAGCAGCAGAAGTCTTTCTTTCTCTCCCCCAAACTCCGCCAGAAATGAGTCTTTGTGAGACGTGTCATGCCAGCGCAGCCTCTTGGAGCAGGAAGGCTTGCAGGATCCCAAAGACTCATTTCTGGCGGAGTTTGGGGGAGAGAAAGAAAGACTTTTGCTGCTTTCCTTGCGTGCAGCCAAAAACGGAAGAAGAAAGAAGCGGAGAGAAGCAGCCCGGTGGCCAGGCCAGGCGCGTGGGATGAGTGGGGCAAGTTCCCCCCTCCGCCCTTTCCCTCCTCCCCTCACTACCTCGTGTTGTTCGCAATGAAAGCGGCGCAAGCCTTATGTTCCCGCGGGCCATGTGGGCGGGGCAGCCTCGTGTTCCCACGCAGCCTGGATTAATTGCTTTGAGGGTGACATTTCTCTGCAGAGCACCAAAATTTTCTCACGGACCACCAACGGTCCCCGGCCCACTGATTGGCGACCACTGTGTATAAACATCCGCACGAACACACGGCTATTGTGAAATTATCACAGGCGCATCTCTTTGTCTCTCTGGAGGATCGGAGGATTGTGCTGCAGTAGACAATCCTGAAATGGAGACTTTCGGAAGCAGGGGTGTCAAACTCAAGATTTGAAAAAAACAGCAAAGGACCGGCTCGCGGTGACTCTGCCAGCGAAAATGGAGCTCCCGGGACTGGTTGTTCCCCCGATTGAATTTTCCTATTTTCCCCCCCCCCCCCCCGCTTTTAAAAACAATTGCCATTTAGTTGCTGGATAAATTAGGTCTCCAGAAATGTGTCTGTGTAGTTTTCGAACTGATGTCCCCCTCTCCTATGCACCAGGATGGTTTTTATTGCACTATGTTGGGGCAAGGAGGTCCCAAATCCCCTACTCTGGCTCGCCCTATCAGAGCCGTGAAGTTATCCGGTTCTGCTTGAGCTCCAGCTGTCTTTAGCGCCTTAGCCCGTCAGCCTGATTTAAATGCAGGAAGGTATTACGTTCAGCCTCCATTTAGCGAAGGAATAGACAGACAGTAATAGAAAAGTCGGCTTTAATTTCATAGATTTATGGTTTGCTTTTCAGAAGGGAAAAACACGTAATCAAAAATATGGGCTGTTTAAAAAACACAAATGATGAAACCAGTAAGTAACTGAGATAAGCTTAGCGGTAGGAGAAGGAAAAAATGAACTCTGCGAGGGACAGAATTTTTTTCTCTATGTTCTCCGCAGTTTGAATGTTCAAGGAAAAGGGGGACCCTATAAGATTTCTGGGGAAGGGGACTTCTTCCAGGGATGTGGGGCCATGACAAAAAAAGGCCCTGTCTGAAGGAGGAAAGAGATGGCTAAGGGGCTTTGGACAGCTCATCGTCATAGATCAGGGGTTGGCAACCGGCAGCTCTGGAGCCACATGTGGCTCTTACCCTTAGGCGAGAAAAACCAAAAGTGCACATATAGACTGGGTGAAACCAGGCTCAATAGCAGTCACTGTGAGAAGGACCTTGGAGTCTTAGTGGACAACCAACTAAATGTGAGCCAATAGTGTGCGGCGGCAGCCAAAAAAGCCAATGCAATCCTAAATTGCATTAATAGAGGGATACAGTTAAGATCAAAGGAGGGACTAAATACCACTCTACAAAGCCTTAGTAAGACCACACCTAGAGTACTGCATCCAGTTTTGGTCACCACACTATAAAAAAGATATTGAGACTCTAGAAAAAGGACAGAGAAGAGCAACCAGGATGATGAGGGGACTGGAGGCTAAAACATATGAAGAACGGTTGCAGGAACTGGGCCTGGCTAGTCTAGGGAAGAGAAGGACCAGGGGAGACAGGAGAGCAGCCTTCCAATACTTGAGGGGCTGCCCCAGAGAGGAGGAAGGGGGTCAAGCTGTTCTCCAAGGCACCTGAAGGCCAGACAAGGAATAATAATGGATGGAAAATGATTCAACCTGGAAATAAGGAGAAACTTTCTGACAGTGAGAACAATCAAGCAATGGAACAGAAATTGCCTTCGGAAGTTGTGGGAACTTCATCACTTGAGACCTTCAAGAAGAGACTGGACTGTTATTTGTCAGAAATGGTGTAGAGTCTCCTGCTTGGGCGGGGGGGTTGGACTAGATGACCCACAAGATCCCTTCCAACTCTTGTTAATCTGTTAAACCCGCTTGTTTCTTCCTTGAACCCTCCCTTGCTTTCCCGAACAGCCTGCCACTGCGATCCTGTGGGATCCGTGCGGGATGACTGCGAACAGATGACCGGCTTGTGTTCCTGTAAACCCGGGATTACTGGCACCAAATGCAAACAGTGTCCCAGCGGAAGCAAGCTGGGAATGTCCGGTTGTGAGAAAGGTAAAGTGGTAACGTCGCATGCAGACAGCTTGGTGGGGGGGGGGGGTTGTGGAAGTTTTGGCGCTTCTCTGCTGGAGAGCTGGAGAGATCATTTATTCCAAGGATCAATTTGGAAGCTAGTTTGCATTGAATGTCGTGCCTGATCCCCAGATCTCTCTGCCCCCTCGTCCTGCTCTGAAATGACCTGTGAATTTGGGGCGTCGTGTGTGGAAGTGAACGGCCTTCCCCAGTGTGAGTGTCCATCGTTGCTTTGCACGGAAGCTGACGCATCCAAGGTGAGCAGAGAGAGCCTGAGTGAAGATGAGTGTGCAAACTCATGGTGTCTTCCAGTAAATCAGTCCCTGTTGAATTCAATAACTTTTTTTTTAAAATGTTTATTTATACATTTTTCTTCTTCTTTAAATGACATAAATACTTAATGGGCAGTTGTCTGGTTCCATTTGTTCATACAAAGTCTTAATAAACTGATAAGAGTAATATTGATAATTACATCCATACTTAAAATATTAATAATGACTTCTTGATAATATGATTCTTACATCATTTACATATAATATACAATAATGATAATACTGATAGTAAAAATAATACTATTAATAATAACAACTGTAATATATTGATAGTTGCTTATATGTAATACAAATTCTTGCATTCTTTTCTGATCTATCGTGTTAATCTTTCATCTTCTAGTTTCCACCTCTTTGATCCAACCGTTGATAAAGCATATAATCCATGTTAGGAAGTATTCTGTTTCTTCCTTATCTTTTATAATTAACGTTAACCTATCCATCTCTGCACAATCTAATATTTTCATCTGCAGGTGTGTCTTCATTTTTTCCAATGTTGTGCAAATACAGTTCTCGCTGCTGTTAACACTTGTGTTATTAAATAGGCAGTCCCTTTATTATAGTTTTCTGGTATTATGCCTAACAAAACAATTTCTGGTTTTATATCTGTACTGAATTCAAGAACTTAAGAGGTGGGAATTCCCTTGCCCCCCTTGTAGGTCTGTGGCTCTGATGGAGTGACCTATGGCGACCAGTGTCAGTTGAGAACCATTGCTTGCCGGCAAGGGAAGGCCATAGAGGTGAAACACTTGGGCCAGTGTGCAGGTGAGTCCCCACTGAAGGCTTACGCCAAACCGTTGCACAGAAATTGACAGCTGCCCCCAGACTGCCACTTCTTTGAACCTTGGGGGATTGGGGTTGGGGCTCTCTGAGCTTGGTGGTTTCCTTGCAGACGTTTCATGACCCAACTAGGCAACATCATCAGTGCTAGAAGAGAGCAGGCTTTGCCAGACCCCACCCCCTCCTAGCACTGATGATGTTACCAAGCTGGGCAATGAAACGTCTGCAAGAAAACCACCATGCTCAGAGTGCACCAGGGACCCCACAGTTTAACCCTGAGCTACAAATATTATCTTCTGTCTTTTTCACAACGGTTGAAACACCCCCCACCCCCCCAAGTTAATAATTCCAGAAATCCAGCCAGTTGGTTTTGGGAACCCTGGCCCGCTTAACGAATCCACCGTTTTCCACTGTGTGAAAAACCCACATTGCCTGAGCTTTCAAAACTCTTCTTGGGTTTGTGAGAGTGGGCTAAAGCCACAGTTGGACGAGAAGAGGGCATGGTGTTTGTGTGTGTGTGTGTGTGTGTGTGTGTGTGTGTGTGTGCCCAAGCCGTTGGGTCTTGGAGGCGAGCTTCACTTTGTGACCTCATAATTGTGGAAAATCAGGTATCAGGAGTTGTTCTGAGCCTTGCCTGCTCTTCGTGGCCCTGTTTCTTGATGAGGAGTTATTGATTTTGGCATGTGATATGCAAGGCAATCTAAAGTGTTTGCCGGAGTTAAATTTAAACTGGCAGAGGAAAAAAACCCAGGAGAAGGAGCTCCCTCTCAAAGAGGCTTTGGAAACTCTGTGCTGTCTCTCCTCTAATTGGCTGGATGGAAACCCCTCTACCCATAGCGCCAGGCAACAGTTCATTTTACAAGCCTCCTCCTTCTCCTTCTTCTTCTCCTTCTCCTCCTCCTCCTCCTCCTTCTCCGCCTTCTCCTTCTCCTCCTTCTCCTTCTCCTTCTTCTCCTTCTCCTTCTCCTTCTCCTCCTTCTCCTTCTCCTTCTCCTCCTCCTTCTTCTTCTTCTTCTCCTCCTCCCACCCCCACCCCCTACTAGACCTCCAATAAAAAGGATCTCTCCCCCAACATGATCCTTCAAGTCTTCCCATGGTGCATTGAAACAGGAGTCCACCCCCGCCGACTGCTGGCCATCCCCAACTTCTCTTTTCCTTCTATATTTCCCAGCACAGGAATCTTCTCAAAGGAGCCGTGTCTTTGCGTCATGGTTCAAAAAATTGGGGTCTCGAGTGTGAACATTGGATTGATTTATTCCGAGGTCCATTCATTCGTTTTCTTGGCTGCCCCTTCAAGGCCAGATGTGCCTTAAGAAGTTTCTATCTTCCTTATGCACCTTATGCTGCATTGTCTCATTTTGGTTCTCTTTCAGAATCCCATGCCAGCCATCCCACCCCGCCTGCAACCCAACGCCCTCTGGACTCCGTCCCCCCTCTGGCTCCCCAAATCACAACGCTGGCTCCCGAGCTAACCAGGACATCCTCCTCTCCCTGGCATTCAGAAGACTCCGTTTCCCACCAGAGCCAGCCGGTCACCCGAAGGATAGCCAAGCCTGCTGTCCTCTCCACTCTTCCCTGGACGACGCAGGGCATCCGCCAGACCACTGCCAGACCCCTCCTGACAGCTCCCGTGGTCCCTGCCACCACTCCGATGGCTTACGTTGAATCGGGCAGCGCGGAAGGCAGCGGAGACCCAGAATTGGGCACCAGCGGGGATCAGGAAGGCAGCGGGACCAGCTCTGCAGGTATGGTGCACACCTTAGCTCTGCATGTCAGTCCCTGGCCTTCCTTAAAGCACATTGGGGTCACTCCATTAGAGGCAAAGAGGCCATTTTGTCCTACCTTACGATAGTCACTGAAAAATGGCGGGGAGATGGAGCAGGGAATTTTGAAAATGGAGGTCTTAAAAAGAACCAAGAGCTCAGACCTCGCTGGTTTGTGGTGGGTAACCTTCTTCCCGTGGCCGAACAGGGGAGGAAGAAATGGAAGAGGAAAAGGTGCCAAATCCACACCTGGTCGAGAGAGCAACCTGTTACAACACCCCTCTGGGATGCTGCTCGGATGGCAAGACTCCAGCCATTGACGCCGAAGGAAGCAATTGCCCAGGTAAACGGTTTCTTTTCTTTCGCAGGTGCTCAGCTTCACCTAGGAACAAAATCCTAGGAAAAGCGTCCTCAAGAAATAAGCCAAGCCGTGTCCCTCTGTGGGCGGTCGGCTCAGGTGAAGATATGATGATTAAATTTTGGAATTGGTCCTTCGGCTTCCTCCGCCCAGCTGCAATTCTCAGGATTTGAAATCCTTTGATAAAACTCAAATCACCCCCGGTGGATTTCAAATTTATGTGCATTTCGAGCTTATATGGGACAGCCGAGCTGATTGGGCAGTGATTTTCAGATCAACATGTTGCTGATTTTTTCATTAGATTCAGACCTCACCTTTTCTCCAGGTGCTTTAAAGAGAGAGACCAAAGCATTTCCTCCCTGGTGTGATAGTCCAACAAGGTAGCATCCAGAGTCCCCCCAGAAAGCCTCAGAATTGAGGGTATGAGTTTAGGGTGCAAACATAACAGCTCACCTTTCTTAATTCTGCTCCAGCTGCTTTCTCCCTTGAGTCTCTGTCTTTAGCCTTCCGGTCTCGTTGTGGAAAATAAAAATTCAAATGGATAAGCTGAGAATCTACCAACTTCTCCTGGCCCGCTAAGCTCTCGGCTGATCCGTAACATGCGGGGCATGAAAAGATTTCCCTCACTTTCAGACCCGTCTGTATTCACAGAGGGAAAACATGCCAACTTCCTGTCTCCCACCACAGAGTAAAAAAGTCGCATTTATGAGATGAGTGGCAGAGCAAGGAGGAAGGGAAAGGGAAGGAAGGAAATTCAGTAAAATTCCACATTATGAAAGCTGTAGCAGCCAGGCATTCTCCTCTTCAAATTAATAAATGTATCCAAACCCAGGGGAGGAAACGGGGAAAGGAGGATAAAATTGGAATGCCTGTTATCATATCATATCCTCCTCTTCCACTTTCAATTATGATTTGATAGGAGGTTTGGCTCCCTCCTCCATTCTAGTCTGTTTTTGAAGACCTAGGCTGGGTAATTTCTAAGAAGTAACTGCAAATAGAGGGAAGCAAAGGAAAAAAAGGAGGATGCCATTTCAATAAAGGTTGGTAAAGATGGTTCTTTGTGGTTCTGGTGTGTTGCAGCTGAAGACTTTGTGGTTTAAGAAATGCAGCTCCCCAAACTCTGAATTTCTTAACTCAGATCAGCCTTAATCCTGTAAGGAAATGATGGGGGAGGTCCCCTTGTCCTTCCTTTCCTCTTTCCTCCTTCCCTTTCTATTTCCTCCTTCCCTTTCTCTTTTCCTCCTTCCCTTTCTCTTTCTTCCTTCCCTTTC